CGTCCTTCTATTTCCACCTTTACAAACCTTTTGAGTGGTCTTTATAAGCCCAGCCAAGTGGGATAGATTTTCTGTGATTCACCCTACAGCCTCTTACTCTGATAGCTCCCTCCACTTGCAATCAGCTCTCCAAAAGCAAGTAGGCAAAGTTCCCTTTTCGCAGCTATTCTGATCATTCACGCCTTGTCTGACCTTACTGGCAAACGTATTCTTGCCCAGCCTCACTGCTCCCATAATACTTGTACTGGCACTGTTTCCTTCTCCCTGACTGTACCCAACTATTCCTATTTTGTTGATACTTTTATTGTGCCCACTTACTCAAACACTCAGGCATGTCGCTTCATACAACTTGGCAGCAGTTTGATAGGTGTAATCAAATTTCACCAAGAACCACTATCTCTGTGTTTTTAGGTCCCTCTTTGTTGGGCGAGAGGAAGGGAAAACAGACTGAAAACAACCTGTTTGCTTGCCTCGTTGACTATGGTGCAATATTAGTGCTACATTATTCCACCCAATACTGCCAGAAGTCCTACATGAATATTGCCAAGGTTGTCTCCTTTACATATGATCTCCCCCATATTTTTTCTTCTTCTTCTTCTCCTCCTCCTCCTCTCCAATTGGTGGAGAGTTCTGACATGTATTTTATGAGCTTTGCTACTTGCAAACATGTGTCTAAGGTAGCAATTCTCAGATTCAAACTTGGCATTATTCTATGCAAGGTCAAAGAAGCAAGCTGATGAGGTTATTCTCTCCTCTCTCTGCTCCTCTCCCTTCTTCCCAAGATGCCTCAGTATCTCATCCTGCCTTTGCCATCCTACCTCTATCCCCTATCTCCTAGTCAAATTCTTTTGCCATTCTAAACCCAGATACTCCAATCTCTACTTCTTTCCCAGTGTCTACCTCTCCTCCCTCTCATGTTACCTGTTGCACCAGGTAGTTGAAATGCTCTCTCATGGATGCTGACATGACTCCCATCTGTCCTTCCCCTCCCAACATTGTTCTTAGTACTTTCTCCTCCTCCTCCTGGTCCCTTGTCTCATTCCCCTGCTTCTTCTATTTCTCAGACACTCATTTCTCCCCTTATTACCCATTGATTGCTTTATAACGGTTCCTCTTTCAGTCTCATATTTTGTCCTATCCCTGCTTTAATGCAGCCCATACCTCTGCTTTTCCTTACTTGTCCTCTCGTCCTTGGTTATGTTTTAATCAACTATTTTTTTTTTCTTTTTTATAACCCTTTTTGCCACATTGTTACCATAGTGCTTTATGTCTTTGATATCTAGCCCACTCATTTTAACCAGTACCCAAAACAGAATTCCTGTACCAAAGCATTATATAACCAGTGGATCTCGATGCAAGTATGTTACAGATAATTCCATTGCTTTACAGGTCATTGTGAGAACTGTTATTACAGCAGAGAACTGCGAGTGTATCACATCTGATGGAGATGTCCTTAGAAAGGTCCATCCTGAGTGGCTTGAGACAGTCATACCCAAGATTCCCCCACAGATAATCATGGTTGTGAAGGGTCAGCAGAAGGGTCAGGTGGGTGAACAATTAATATTTGTCTTTTTTTTTTATTGTGTAATAAATTATTTAATGTCATGTGTTCCTTGGCATAAATAATATCAAATATTGTTGCAATATTTCTGGTTAACTTTTAATTTGTGAAACCTTATTTTTCCAGAGAGGGCGAATCTTACAACTCCACAAAGAACAAGAAAAAGCATCTGTACAGTTTTTAGAGGATGAAACAGTCATCATGAAGTTCCATTATGATGACATCTGTGAATATGTATCATGAGACAGGAGTGTAACTAGTGTTTCTATCCAACTATTTTTATCACAAACATTTCTTATAATATTTTATATATTTAAATAAGGATGACAATAAAAAATAACAAGTAAAATCTCTTTTACTTATAAATTATTTGCCTGTACATTTAATATATACTGCTAGTTGTCACACATTATTTACACATGTTCTGACATACAGCTTCTTAAGGGTGTTACGTGCTGAAGTCAGTCATACCCAAAATGAAGAGTACCACAAAGCTTTTATTTTACTGTTAAACTGTTCTAAAATGGGTGTAGAGAATAGCCAAGAAAACCGGTGAATTTTCTTGGAGTCTACTGCATCCAGTAGAACCTTGTGCCGTAACGGGATGGCCGAGCGGGAGCTTCCGGCAGGGGTTCTGGAGCATCAGGGAACTCGAGAGGTGCATCCACAGCTGGCTTTGGCCTTTGTATAAGAAAAAAGGAAAAAGATTTTTTTTTAAGAGAAATCAATTTTAATTTAAATCTGTGATACAGTAGTCTTTGGAGAGGATAAGGTTTTATGACAATTTATTAATATCTATGAGAAAAAAAAAAACCTTTGTATAGGATAATGGAGAATTTTTTTTTATATTGACTTCATTTACATCTGTCAGTCATATATGCAAATCACAAACTTGAAAAACTTTGATGACTAACTCATCTGTGTAATAATGAACCTTGA